AGAATTAGGCTTGAATTGGCAAAGTTGGCATTTTGGCGAATTCCGGTGGATAGGTGAGATTTTGATCCGAGGGTCGGAATGGAATTCCGAGAGTTGCAGTAGCTCCGTTAGGTGATTTTGGATATGTGTGCAAAATTTTAGGTCATTCGGAGGTGTTTTGGTCGGGTTTTTGATCGAATGCGTAATTCGGAAGTTTTTAAGAAGCTTAGGCTTGAATTCGATGTGATTTGATGGTTTTAGCGTTGTTTAATGTGTTTTGAGGATGAGAACAAGTTTGAAAACAAGTTTTGAGGATGAGAACAAATTTGTTCGATTGGGTTATGTTTCTTTAGCCTATTGTAATGTATTCGTTGTGGTTCTAATCAGATTCGGCGTGCGAAGAGGTTGATTCGAAAGGCAAAGGCATAGCGAGCTAGACTTGTGGCCGGCTTGAGGTGAGTAATAGATGTAGATGATGACCTGAGGGTTTGAAACCTCGGTATATCACATTGTGGCGCTATATTGAGGCGAGACACGTACTCTATGACGAGTGCGGGGTCGATTGTGACTGGGGATTGTGACCTAGTACGTTTCGATTGATGTTCGTACTATGTTCTTGACTAGAAATTGTTTGGAAATCATCCTACTTGAATTTTATGAATATGTTTAGGGCTTTGTGCCTATCATTTGCATCCTTCAGGGATCCTTATCACTGCTTCCATGATACTTAGCATATTTCATGATATCAGTCCTGAGTTAGACACTGCCTCGAAATGTTTAGTAAATAAATAAAGGTTTAAACACTTAGCTCTATAATTCCTAATAATTGAAACTAAAATGAACAATTTGACTGTGCCCGAGTGGCTTGCATGCATATATATATATATGGACTGAGTGTGGATCGGGCTGCACGCCGCAGCGAATGCTACGATGATATTACGCTTGGGCTGTAGGAGCCCCTCCGGAGTCTGAACCCCCACAGTCAGCGCGGGTACCCAAATGGATCGGGCTACGCGCTGCAGCGGTCATGTGCATTGCATTGCATTCATGCATTTTATATCTGTTGGCCTTAATTGTCATTGTCTGCTGTTGTTTCATCATTTATCGTGCTGAATCGTTGATTATAGCTTTATATTGTAATATTTCGCGATTTCTTACTTTCAGTCATTATATATGTTTATTACTCACTGAGTTGGAAGTACTCACTTTACTCCCTGCACCATGTGTGCAAATTCAGGTGCTCCGGAGACTTAGTGGAGCTGTTTGCTGTTTTCGTGAAGTTTATTTTCAGGAGTTGTTGAGGTAGCTGCCTGACGTCCGCAGGACCTGACTCCTCCCCTTTATTTCATTTATCTTTCCATATCCTAGACTTCTTTATTACTATGGATATATTACTCTGTTACATCTAGAGGCTCTAGACTCGTGACTCCAGATGTATTGGGGAATGTTTGGATATTCGTTATTATTTTCCATACTATTTTATTTAGATTCGGATTGGAACCTTGATATTTGCTATTTTAATCGTATTATTTGTTAACGGATTACGTAATTGGGTTGATAGTATCTAATTGGTCGGGCTCGCCTAGCATTAGTGTTGGGCGCCATCACGATCGGGATTGGGGTCGTAACAAGTTGGTATCAGAGCCTAGGTTACTAGGCCTCGCGAGTCATGAGCCGGTTTAGTAGAGTCTCGCGGAACGGTACGGGGGCGCCAGTACTTCTCCTCGAGAGGCTGCAGAACCTTTAGGAAAACTCCATATTCTTGAAATTCTTGTCGTGCGGCTTTGTGATTCGAGAACTAAATCTCTGTATTCTATTCTCTCGCAGATGGCGAGAACTCGTGCTACCGGACGCGATGGCCGACCACCAGTACCACCCACTAGAGGCCGTGGATGCGGTCGTGGTCGTGGTCGAGGTAGGGTAGCAGAGATAGCACCTGCTGACCCACCAGCTGCCACAGTTCAGGACTAGACTCCAGTTGTCGATGTCCCAGTAGCACCTGTGCAAGCACCAGCAGTGCCTATTGCTATTCCTGGTCTTCAGGAGACCTTGGCACAGATACTATCAGTTTGTACTGGCCTAGCTCAGGCGGTCTCAGCTTCTACTGCAGCAGCTGCTTCCCAGACCGGGGGAAGAAATCAGACCCCTGTTGCTCACACACCTGAGCAGGTTGCCCAGGGATTTCAGACATCGGAAGCAGCCATAGCTCCGCCAGTTGCTCCAGTTGC